AAATGTTTAAGAGTTTTTATTGTTTCGTTTTTGTTTTTTTATTCTGAAGGAAATGGAGAAGTCAGATGCCAACAACTTTTTAATCTTGTTCCGGGATTCAGGCTGCCAATTCAGGTCTTTGTATACTTATTGCCCAGAAACTGAAGAAATTAACAAACTGACGGGGATAGGCCCTAAATCTATCACTAAAAAAATGATTGAGGGACTTTACAAATATAATTCTGACCGGAAACAGTTTAGCCACATACCTGCTAAAACTTTATCTGCCAGTGTTGATGCGATCACCATTCATAGTCATTTATGGCAGACCAAGAGACCAGTAACACCCAAAAAACTTCTACCCAATAAAGCATAGGAGTTGGGAAATACTTGCTTCAGAACATTCGTGGTAAATTTGCACTTCATCTTTCCTGCCTATAGAAAATCTTTCTAATTGCCAACAAGACTTTTATTAATTGAAACTGAACATTAGGCTCTGTTGTCATGAACAACTGGAACGTCAGCCACAGTATTGTGGAGTGCAGAAGATTCTCCCACAGGTGGTAAGTCCAGTGATGAAGGGAATGTTCTGATCACAAATGGACATCCATGGCATCAGGTTCACCTGCGTGATATCAGACACATTGGAGCGCTGAATCCTCGTGGACACTAGTTGGACTGACGGTCGAACTATGACTAAGATTACAAATTATGTGTTTAACTTTTTTTTTTTTTTTTTTGACTTTTTAACGTACATGCTTGTGTTCAGATGGTTTATTTTGCTGTTTTTCTCTCCTGGGAGTTTATTCTAAGATACCTTTTGTATTTTGTTTCATGTAGAGACCGTGAGCGTAGGAAATGCGCCTTCAGAGGTAACTCGCACCTTCCTTATGATGCTAAGAGAAACACTAGTGTTTAGTTTTACAATAACCCTCATGTTTTAATGGTGTTAGAGCATTTGCAAGAATTATTCTAAGTATTTGCAATTCTGTATTTATTATTCACTCAAGTATTAAGTTAAGAGGAGGTATTGTAAAGAGCTGCTAGTAGGTTCACTTTAAACCACACGAGCTTAACCAGGAATATGTAATAAGAAGTTGCTGATTAAATCAGTGCTGTTTTTACACCACTTCGGGCCAACTCAGAATAATTTAGATTGTTCTTTTAACACAAAAGGCTTTCTATCTCTTTTAAAGTAAGTCACTTTATAAGCTGGCAGAAGGGCATGACACTTTGAGAGTCGTCTTTCAGTCTGAAGATGTAAGACTTCCTGCCACACGTTCTCAAGAGGTCTTTGCATTATATTTATAACTGATATTAAAATTATATTTAGAATTTTTAAACATGTACAAAGGGCTACAGTTTAATTTTAAAATAGCTTCACATTATTTTACTTATATTGAGTTTTTCTTCTTTTTTATCCTTTTCAAGTGGAACAGCTTAAAGTACACACTTGAAATCTTCTCTACATGATCTTTTTCCTTTAACAGTGTATATCAGAGGGTTAGTTGGGGAAAAACTTCATTCTCAGGAAAAGACTTGAATGATTATGTGACCCTGTCATGTTTCAGTGTTGTGACAACTGTGTAAACGTAGAGGGGAGAGGCAGTATTGTATCATAAATGAGATGCGGGGCTTGTTTTCTTTCGTGGGAAGTAGAGACTAAAATATATACATTTCTCTAATTGAGTTGTTTAGAGAAATAACTAATATCTCACATGATGTATCTACTTATTTTAAAAGAGAATAGGAATGAGATGTCCCTGAGCTGTACTTTTCTATTATTATAAGGCCTTTAGGCATCAGTGCATCTGGGTTTATCCACATTTTCTCAAATGCTGTCAATATTTTACTGTAATTTATGTTCTTATATTTATGTATATTTGTTAAAACTGTAAAAAAAAATTCAGATTTTTTTCCAATACCTGTGCAAGATATATGTGTAGCTCAAAACTATTTGTGATCTACTGTTTGCATGTAAGAGACCAGGATATGTAACTCTTATATTTTAAGTGTATACATATTTGTATATAATATATGAATATTAAGAATGGGGACTTGCACATTTTACCTTTCAGACAACAGTTTCTATCACAGAGGGAAATGACTGTCAGATACAAGTTTAGATTAAGCCTGGTTGTTAAAAAAAAAATGTAAATCTAATCAAAATACGGTAAATATTAGTCAAAAGGAGAATTAATAAGCACTTTACATTACTAAATTTGTTCTTTTCAATCAAATTTCCCTTATCAAGTCAATCTTCTTTGTGATATTACCTGGCCATTAAATTCTTAAAAATTGGATGCAAGACAATGGAGGAACTATTTTAAGCTAGGTAGGACCACCCTTTCTTCTTAAATTCATGTGTGTCCAACAATGAATGTCCATAATGTCTAAAGGTAGAATGTGAACATTGCCACAAAAGTTCATTGCTCTCAGTATAATATTTTACTTTATTAATACAGAAGAAATATGGATATATTTCTTTGAATCTGCAGATTTTTTTTATTATGGTGCAGCTTTTAAAAGAATTATGTTTTAAAAATTATACAAAGAAAATTATGGCATTTCATAAAGTCTGGAGATTTCCATCAACCATATTGAAACATACTGGTGCTTTCATCATTAGAGGTCAAATTATTATGATTATTCAGTTAAGTTTGCTAAACACTAGTCATGATTTCCAGTGCAGCCTGTCAAATTCTATTTGACACAGCTTTGGAAAGCTTTTAATTCCTCTGGACTTTTCAATTTTGTTTTAGAATGACTGTTACAGTTTTTATTTGGCTGTTTAAAGCCAAGTTCAGCTTTTTAATTATGGTTTCATGGACACTGTTGGGCAATGTACAGTGTATGGTGTGCTTACCTGTCCACTCTAGAGCATTGCTTACAGGTTTTTTTAAGATGCTGTGCTGTAAAATACTGTCATATTTGCTATTTCCTGGTACAGTGTAGTTTTTTCCCCTTTCATTTGAATAAAAGCATGGCACCAGATGACTCCTTTTCTGTTTCTTGAATATGTTTTTTTCTTAATATTTGAACTTGGGTGAACTCATCATAAAGTTTTCCTCTCTCCTAACCTATGTTTAAAAGGAACAACTTGAATGGTCAAAGAGGCAACTTTTGGTGACATTAGACGTTGTCTGAATAAGGCAGTGTTAAAAAGTCTAACTTTCTGTGCTTAGCTCGGATTGTCTACGTAGTACGTAGTGGTGTATAAACGTGCTCATCTTATATTCTGTCCATGTTAAATCCCTTTCTTTTGTATTAAATTGTGCCAAAATCGACACTTTATACCTTTGAAATTAAATGGCTAACGAACTCACTGGTCTATAGTAGCCAAAACCGTTCTTGATTTACTCTTAAGTTTCCGACTTTGATTTTGTGGATTCTACTCATTCAGACCAGAGCAATTAAGGAAAAAAAAGATCTAGCAACAAACTCTTCATACACAATTACATGCCTGAAGAGAGAACTGCCGTGGCTAAATACGTAAGCGTGCTTCTCTGCCTGCAGATCCTCTGATAGGGCACGTACCCCACGCTTCGGAACGGAGCTGTACTTCGACGGGATTCTGTAATGCTGTAATTTTCAGAAATAAAAATATTTGACCATAGGACTCAGGTAGCATTCCGCACAGACCTCGGTGCCCTGGAGCCCACACGCGACTTGAGAGTAAGTTCCGTGATCTGGCTGCTTGATGGTTCTTAGCGAGGCAGAGGAAAATGTTTATTCTGTAGTGAAGAGGAACATCTCTTTATTTGGTGACGTGTGCACGCAGAGAAATCATCAAGAGTAACATCCAGAGAAAGAAATGCAGTTGTGGTCCTCCGGCCTCGGAATCAGGCGCTGGAAGAACACGTCTATACGATGGGCGTGAGGCTCTGTTACCCCTCAGGAGGGGGCAGATGCCTAAAACACAGGCCCGGATCTGGGGCACCCGGCTGGCCCCGCGGGTTAGGCGTCCCAACTCTCGGTTTCAGCTCAGCTCCCGAGCTCGGGGTCATGAGACCGGGCCTGCTGTGGGGCTCCTGCTCACCGTGGGGTCGGCGGCTCGGCCCTCGCCCCCCCCCCCCCCCCCCGCTCCGGAGCTCGCTCTCTCCAGTACACACATAAAATCTTTAAGAAATGCACGGAGCCCTGTATCTATCTCCTTGAAAAGCAAAGGAAACAAACGAGCGACTCGGTGTCCTCTCGGGGAGGTGGTGTGTGCCTGGGTTGGTGCTTCGCGGCTGCTCTTCCCCTAGGGCTCTGGGATGTGGTTCAGTCGTCTGCTCTGGCATCTGGGCCGCAGCCTCCCGGCACCGCAGTGTTCGGTCCCGCGCGTGGACCGTGAGCGCGTGCGCGCGTGTGCAGTGTCCCGGGGGCGTTTAACTCCCGTCACCTCTCTCCACAGTGGCTTGCATTTATGTCAGAAAAAGAAAAAAATGCTTTCACTTTCCATTGAAGAAGAAAAAGCGAACAAGTCTTAAAAGCAACAGGACCCACACGGGCTCCTGTTTTAGCGCTGGGAGCGCGGCGCTGTGGGCCTAGGTCCGGGTGCGTCGGCTGCTGACCGCGGCGGCTCCCTCAGGAGCACCCCGGGGCTGAAGGCACGGGACGGCGTGTGTCGCTGGCAGCGCCGCTCGCTTAGTCCTGTTCGGCTGCCGTGACTGCTGCCCCGGCCAGTCACCCTTTAATTGAGCGATGGAAGGGGACCTTCACCTTTGGGACCTTCGCTCTTGCACCCGATCACCGTGTCTGGGTGTCCTGGGTCGGTTTGACCGACCTTCGGCAGAACCCGTCCTTGGCGCCACGTGCCTAGTTTCTCCATCCTGCTCCTCGCAGGAGTCCCGCCGTTAGGACGGGTCGGGGCTGGCTGGTCACGGGGCAGGACGACAGAGGCCGCGTGAGGGCCTCAGTTTTCCGCCAACGGCGAACGTGCTACTGACTCGTCCGGTCGTCGGACTTCGTGGGTCTTGGCGAAGGGGATCTGAAATGGGGTTGAGGCTCGGGCCCGCCGCCACCTCCACGTTTCCGCCATGAAGCAGCCCTCCGGGGAGGCGGGCTTCGGCGTGCCCCGGGGTGGGGGCCCGCGGCCTCGCTGCCCAAACCCGCAGACCGCGCGGCGGGCGGCGCGAGCTCTTCTCTCACTAGCTGCCAAGGGGCCTTTGTGGTGGCGTTTTTAGGGGTGTCTTAAAGATTCTATTCATCAGAGAGACGCAGAGACACAGGCAGAGGGAGGAGCAGGCTCCGCGCGGGGGGCCCGACGCGGGACTCGACCCGGGACCCCGGGGTCACGGCCTGGGCCCGAGGCAGACGCCCCGCCGCGGAGCCCCGGGCGCCCCCAAGACTGTGTTCCATTATCAGCCGGTGAGAGGCCGCATCCCCGTTTTCCTCAGACTCGAGCTCCGAGTTGCCGAGGCCTCGGTTCCGGGGAGAGAGCCCGAGAGACCTCGACGGGCCACGTGTCACAGCGCCCGCCACCTGTGCGGCAGCCCTCTACCACGGACAGCGGATGGCACTGGCCTTTGCCACTCCGCTGTTGTCCCCTCCTCGCAGACAGAAGGCGGCCAAGGGTGCAGTCTCCTCGGAGGGCGGACGTGGGGGGCGCCGGGGGCTCCTCGGTGGGGCGTCTGCCTCGGGCCCAGGCCGTGACCCCGGGGTCCCGGGATCGAGTTACGCATCGGGCTCCCCGCACGGAGCCTGCTCCTCCCTCGGCCTGTCTCGGCCTCCCTGTGACTCTCATGAATAAATAAAATATCAAAAGAATAAATAGAACCGAGGGCGGATGTGGAACACTCGGGAGGCCCCCGGACACATCGGTGCGTGTTGGGCAGGTCACGCGTGGACTCCTCCGCCTTATGTTCGGTCCCTAAGTTCAGGTCTTCACAGGTTGTCGGATGAATCGCCGAAAGGACTGCCCAGCCCAGGCTGACAGCCGCACCCAACACTCAGTCTCATGTCCCGGGGCCACCACTAACTTCCTGGCCATAGAGATTTTGCCCTAAAAGTACAAACCGGTCTGACCCCCTCTGCTCCGCACAGACCACGCGGGGGACCAGGTGCAGCTGGACGAGCCGCCGGGGCCTGGACAGGTGCTCGGTTCCCCTGCATCCTTGAGCTCCTCGTGTGCCCTGCGCCCCCCTTCCCTTCCGAGGCTTCCAGGACCCGCTCGCCGGCCCACCCGTGCGGTGCCACCTCGGCCCGGCCCGGCCCGGCCAGTGCCACCGTCCCCAAGGCACACGGTCTAGCACCGGGCCTGAACCCCTAGCAGAGCCCCACTCCCTGGGTCACACGTGGCCACCCCGGCCGAAGCCCCCACGATCTCTGTCCCTCGCGCCCGCACAGCCTCCGGTCCTGTCTCCCCGCCGTCCGCGGTCGTCCCCGAGGCCTCGTGTCCGCGCCCACAGCCCACGCTCCAGCTCTGAGCTCCAGCACGGCCTCCCTAAGTCCACGTCTGCCCCACGCACCGCGGCCGCCTGGCCTCGGGTGCCCTGGGGCACCGGTGCTGCTCCGCGTCGGCCCGGGAGGCCTCGTGGGCCCAGCGTGAGGCCCCCGCCGACCTCGACCTCGGCGACTCGGCCCCGGGCGCCAGCGGCTCTCAGCGGCCGCCGAACGGCTCCGAGGCAAGCACCGCAGGCCCAGGCGCCCGGGGGGCTCCGCGGTGGAGCGTCTGCCTCCGGCCCAGGCTGTGACCCCGGGGCCCCGGGATCGAGTCCCGCGTCGGGCTCCCCGCAGGGATCCGGCCTCTCCCTCGGCCTGGGCCTCTGCCTCTGTGTCTCTCAGGAATGAATAAATCGAATCTAAAAGCCACCCCAGAAAGTCCCAACGGGCACCGCAAAACTCGGAAAAGACTTGACATTTCAAAATAACTCCTCCAAGCAGTCATGAACCATCAACCTGTAAGGACTTTCGTATAGTTCACGGTTTGGGGGGCGCAGAGAGGAGGGGGCCGGGCTGCCGGGTGACCTGGGACCGTCGGTGGCACGACCGAGGCCTCCCCTGTCGCCTGCGCGGACCTGCTGCTCACGGGCCGCCCGCCCTGGCCCGGCCTCGTCTAAGGCGGCGCAGCGAGGGGCCACTGCGGCCGGAGGAGCAAGCTGCCCGGGGTGCCCCAGGGGGTGCAGGCCCCGGCGGGGGAGTCAGCAGAGCCTGCAGTGGGGCCCCCAACGCACAGGGAGCCGCCGAACTGCTGCAAAGCGGGAAGCCACGCTGTCCCCGGAGCAACTCGCCGCGAGTCCGCGAGGAGCCCGCAAGGCCTGGCCTAGAAGCCTCTGTGGGCACAACAGTCACCGGAGGAAACGCTACTTCCCGTCGGGCAAATCCTGGGGCCCACTGTATATCGAGGGGCCTCCCTGCCGCTGCTTTCAGGCTCCTGATGGGTTTTGCGTCTGCCCCGAAAAGAGCCCGTGAGCTGTGGGCAGTGACGGCGGGGCAGGCCGGGAGCCCAGCCTCCTGGACAGGCGCCCCCCCCACCCCCCGACCCCCCACCCCGGCCTCCCATGGCCCGAGGCCATCACACGGCCGCCGCCTGGGCCTTCGGCTGACTCCCCTTGGCCGTGGGGCCACAGGGTCACGGGGTCACAGCCAGCTCAGACCACCCCCACCCCACCCCCCCGCCCCGCACTGGCCCAGCACCCCCGTCTGAGCACTTGAGAATTTCGGAAGTGACCGAACAGCTGAAACACTCTGGGTGGCCTGTGGCGCCCAAGGTGGGGCCCATCCCCGTGTCAGCCCCCCCCCCCCCGTGGGTCTTGGGGCCGTGGGGCCGCTCACCGCCACAGGCAGAGGGGACAAGCCAGGCTCCCGGTCCCGGGTCCGCACTTCCAGGAGGGGTGTGGACACGCGGGACACGGTAGTGCAGGGCCTTCCACCCACCCAGGCCCCAGGCCCCAAGCCGGCCACCCTCCTGCCAGCTGCAGCCAAGCCTGTGATGGGTCAGCGGCCCTGTCACCCCGTGAGACTCAGCACCAGTGACACCGGGTCCAGTGAACACGGGGCGTTGAGGGCTTGAAGACCGCGCCCCACCACGCCCCACGGGGATGATCTCGCTCTGGATTCCCAGTGCAAATAACGGAAGATCCACACCAGCTGCTGTAAGATCATGGAAAAGTCCCCGCCAGTCCCTGTGTAAAGGCCCAAGCTGCCACCCCCAAAACCTCGTGGTGCTCACCCGCAGTGCGGAGAAGGTGGCTCGTCCCAGGGGAGGGGGCGGCACCAGCAGGTGACAGATGCAAACAACCGCGGTCCGCTGTGGGGGTGCAGCCCAGGTCGGGGGTGCAGGGGGTGCACCGTGCCGGGAGGGCAGGTGCAGAGCCCGGGCGAGGCGGGGGTGGCATCTCCTGGAAACCTGCTCCCGCCCCCACCCCCACCCCCACCCGGACGGGCCTTCATCCCCCTGAGGCTCACGTGGCCTTTGCAGCACTCAGTCTGGTCCACGCAGTCGCACCTGTTTTAAGATGACGACACGAGCCCCAGATCACACGGCCGCCAGGTTACAAGGCTCATACGGAAGCCCTGCTCCTGCCTCCTGCCACGAATAACCCGACCCGTCCTGTTCGTCCACTGACCACAAGCAGACACAGTGACCTAGAAGACATGTAGTCAATAAATTCCACATCACACCGAGAGTGCAGGATTTTTAAAAATATTTTTTTAATTGGATACTGCGGGGAAAGCTGGATAGCAATCTCAGAAAGATTACACTTTAGGTGGATTAAAAGAGACGCTAGGACATTATTTTTTATTTATTTCTTTTATTTGATTTTTTTTGGACATTATTTTTTAACGAGAATACAGTTGAATGTTTATATTTTATTTTTTTTTCAGTTGAATGTTTTTAGCTCATCAAAGAAAAACCCTCAACTCTGAAGTTGCTAAGAGCAACAAATTTGACTATAGGAAAATGTAAAACTAGAAGGAAACACAGCCAAGAAAAAAGTCTGGAACAATGTTTGGATTAAATGGGACAACGCTTAATCCTAAATAATTCATATAAGTAAAAAATATAGTAGATAAACATACGAAGGATGTGATTAGACAGTTCACATAAGAATGAAGTACAGAGACTTTCAATCTCATATTCAAAGAAATGTACATTAAAAATGAACTGTTTTTACCTCATTACCTATTAAAGTGGAAAAAGTGTATCTTACTGATGAATATTTCTGACAAGATTGCACCGAATCCAAAACTCTCATGCGAAGCCATACCAGAAGCATCTGTATCGAGCCCTTTTCATAGCGTTGAACCTTCACACGGCATTTATGAGAACAGAGTGACAGAGAAGGTTCACAAGCACAGTTTTTTGTTACAGATTTTTTTTTTTTTTTTAGGATTTTATTTACTTATTTGACAGAGAGAGAACACAAGCAGGGGGGGCGGCAGAGGGAGAAGCAGGCTCTGCGCCGAGCGGGGGTTGGGGGAGGGCTCGCTCCCAGGACCCCGGGATCGTGACCTGAGCCGAAGGCAGATGCTTCCCCGACGGAGTCACCCAGGCGCCCCTACGAATTTCTATAACAGCAAAAAACCCTGGAGAAATCGGAGATGTCTGAAATCAAAATGTTAGAAACATCACATTAAACATAAACAGTAAGCGACACAGGAAAATGTGGATCTACATGGCATCGAGAAGAGCAAACTATGAAAGTGTGTACATCCTGATTAGTGAGGACTCTGAAACTGTTGTGTCAAAAAACGACTTGTGGAGAACATCAGAAATGGAATGTGGAAAAAAAAAAAAAGTCCCAGAAGAAGGGGATGGCAAACAGAGTGTCCCCTCCGGCTGGAAAGGAATTCGGGAGCGAGGCTCGTGCTGGGGCCGGCCTGCAGCCCCGGGACTGGGCGGACTGCCTCAGGCTGGAGTCCACGAGCCGGCCGTGTGGCTTTTGTGATGAAAGAGGCAAACAGAATGAGCAAGATTTTTCTTACAGGGCTAAGATCACGCGTACAGAAAACTCAAAATTGGGGGAAGAAGTTGTGGGAGCTCAGATAACGTAGCTCACAAAGGGACAGAAATAAAAGGCGTCTGGTCCTGAAAGCAACCAACCTAGTGCCAAGCCTCCGACATTTACTCACTAGGCCTGGCCTCTGTTCCCAGGCTCGGGCAGCCACGGCGGTGGGCGAGGCAAGGCGGGCCCATGTCACAGAGGGGACAGGGCTGGGGTCCCAGGAGGCTCCCGGGACCAGGGGAGCACGAAGACACCTGTCGGGGGAGCCAAGCTCCTGGCCCCAGCAGGCCGGGTGCCCTAGTAGGGGACCCGCTCCTGATCCTGTGGGGGATCCCCCTGAGGAAAAGCGAGCAGAATCGAGGGGTGACCTTGGTCCCTGAAAGTCGATAGAAATCCGCAAGGCTCTGGCCTTTGATGCTCCTCCCACAGGCAGGGAGGCCCCAGTCGGCCCTGCCTTCCCTTGGGTAGAGACCGCAGCCCCAGGAAGCAAGAATCGGTGTTTTTCATAAACAACCTACTTCTCCTTCCCCCTCTGCCCCCTCCCGAGGCTCCCCTCTCGGTCCCATGCCCCATTCGGCTTTACCCCTGGCGGCTCCCGGCTGCCCACCCCTCGCTTTCGCACCCCCCATGCTCTCCCTGCCCGACGGAGGGACGGGGCCAAGGCCTGAAGTCCAGCAGCTCCCGGCCCACCCCCGCTTGCCTCCAGGCTCTGGAAGGGGCCCCTGCCAGCCTTCTAGGGAAGGGGGCTGCAGCCCCGTCGCCCCCCAGGAAGTGGGTGCCACTCAGCAGCCGCAGGGTGATCACGAGAAAACTGCTCCAAATCACCAGCAGCCCCCACGGGCTTCCAGCCCCCTGCTGGGTCCTCGGAGGAAGCTCACGGCTGAGGAATGGGATGCTCCTGGAGGGACAGGCCAGCACCCACTCCCTCCCTGGCCTCTGCTCCGCCGGGCCCTCCCGGCCCTTGCAATTGGCCCGGGAGAAACCACCTTGGAGAAAGCCTGGACACAGGCCTGCCCGACTCCCCTAAGCGTTCCCACTCCCTGGGGATCCCCACGGGCCATCAGGGACCTCCAGCTGGAGTGACTCTGTGTCCCAGTTTGCAGAGAACAGTCTGCTTTATGGCCTGGGGTAATTACTACAGGTAATTACTACAGGTCCCAGAAGTGTCCCGGCTCGGATCACACGGTATTTCATCACCTGGCCTCGCCCACGTGCCCAAGCTTCTCTGTGACCCCTGACCCCAGTGAGCGGGACAGCATTCCCAAACGGCCGCCACAGGCCTATCGCTGACTCCTCTCTGCGGAGACACCCAATGCTACAGGTAACTCTTGAATAGAGCCCCGCCTTTCTGTCCCCACGGCCACTAATCCACTCCAGATGTTCCCTATCCCCACACAAATAGTGACAACAGCCTACGCTGGGCTCACCTTGCCCCGAGCCTCTCCCCTGTCCAATCCACAGTTCCACTGGGGACCTTCTCCAAATGGACAGATGTCATGCCCTACTCACGAATGCCCAGTGGCCTCCACCACCTACAGAATGAAACCAAGTCGCCCTGAGATCTGCTCCCTATCATCCTTCTTGCTTCCTCTCCTGCCACCCACTTCCCACCCTGGGTTCTGGTCACTGGGCCCAGGTCCCGCTGCTCTAATTCACCCTCCAGCTCCTTCCTGGACCTGAACTCCAGGGCCATCTCCTGGAAGGCCATTTCTGATGTACCCTTCCGTTAGAAGTAACCGCTCTTTCCTCTAACCTCCAAGAGGACTTTCCCCTTTATCAGTCTGACTTCTGGCACGTTGGCCGCGGCATATGCTGCATGGGTATCTAACCCCCTGCCTAAAGGAGGAACCTCTAAGGTAGAGAACGGCGTCTCTCTCGCAATGCCTAGAACACTGCCTGCTACATGAACTCGCTGCTAAAGTGAACTGAATCAAAACTGATAATCCACCTCAAATTTTCAACACCCGAGTGCCCAACAGGTCAGTCACTGATTCCTGGTGGCAGTGCTGGATGGGATTGGTTCCAACAGAGCATCTCCTGGGAGGGATGTCTGCTAAGAATTTGGACCCGGAACAAACGCAAAAAGTACCAATCAGGACCACACCGAAATAAAGAGCCTTTGCACAGCAAAGGACGCCACCAACAAAATGCTCTCCTACTGAACGGGAGAAGATATCTGCAAATGACATATCCAATAAGGAACTAATATCCAAAACATACGAAGAACTCCTACAGCTCAGCACCAAAACAAAAAACAAAACAAAACAAAAAAAAACACAAAAAAACAACCCACAATCTCATTTAGACAATGGACAGAGGACCTGAGTAGACATTTTTTCAAAGACACACAGAGGGCCAACAGACACATAAAAAGATGCTCAGCATCACTAATCATCCACGAAGTGCACATCAAAAGTACAACGAGGGTTCACCTCAAACCAGTCAGAATGGCGAGTATCAAAAAGACAAGAAATAGGTGTTGGCGAGGATGTGGTGGGAAGGGAACCGCTGTGTATTGTTGGCGGGAATAGAAATAGGTGCAACCACCGTGGAAAACAGTATGGAAGTTCCTCAAAAAAAAAAAGGGGGGGATCCCTGGGTGGCGCAGCGGTTTAGCGCCTGCCTTTGGCCCAGGGCGCGATCCTGGAGACCCGGGATCGAATCCCATGTCGGGCTCCTGGTGCATGGAGCCTGCTTCTCCCTCTGCCTGTGTCTCTGCCTCTCTCTCCCTCTCTCTCTCTCTCTCTCTCTCTGTGTGTGTGTGTGTGTGACTATCATAAATAAATTAAAAAAAATTTAAAAAAAAATAAAAAAAAATAAAATAAAAAAGCTTTAAAAAAAAACAAAGAAAATGAAAACACTAATTCAAAAAGGTATCTGCACCCCTATGTTCCTTCCAGCATTATTTACATTAACCGAGATCTAGAACCACAACCAGTGTTCACCAACTGACAAACAGGCATCGGCAATGTGGTGTATATATATATGCTCTCTCTCTTCTATATGCTCTGTGTGTGTGTGTGTGTGTAGATATATAAATGGAAGATTAACCATCCATAAAAAA